TCTTTCCCTTGGCTGCTGCCTCCTCTGGGTCACACTGCTTCTTATCCTGAACACTTGACACCTTGAGGGTAGAATCTAGTGTTTGGTTTTTACCTCCTAGAATACGCTGTTTGGTATGTGAGGGTTTCAGTACAAATGCTGCTGTCTATTTCTGTGCACTTAACAATGGAACCCAAACAGAAGAGAATAAAGCCTCGATACCAAAATTGGGAGAGAAAATGCGTCCATTTGGACCAAAGGGTTTTCTTTTTTTTGTTTTTGTTTTTTCATCTTAATATGTACCAGTGGCACTTAACCAAAAGATACAGTGACATAGCCATGTACTGTGGTTGGGACAGATACAGTTTCCTTGACCTATAATGACACCACTAGGATTTCCTTATATATTTTACTTAATTCGTTGGTGTATGAAAGGTAAATTACCCTTAGGCTTAGCCTGTTTTAAAATTATGGTGGCCGTCTAACTGCTACTTGTTCATGCTTCTTCCTAGAAAAAAAATTTTCATTCGAAAATAACTAGGATCTGCATTTAGAACAAGAACTGTTATTTGTCCTGACCTTTTCTTCAGCCCTACTGAGAAGCATCTGTGCTTTTATACTTGCCATGGACGTAACCTAAAAAGTTTTGGCGTATCTAGGTCAGTCTAGCGGAACTTTTTTTCGTTTAAATGGAGTTGAATAATGGAGATTTTGTGTCCGGGAAATTCCTGAGATCATTGAAAAAATAACAAACTATTCCTTGTCTTGATACATAAAATTCTTCTAAGCATTTTCTCAGTCATTAAAATTTACTGCCAGTTGTGAGTGGCTTTTTAATTAACTTGACTTTCACTGCACTTCGATTGGCAACGTTTGAGGAGACTGTATCTGTCTACTTTGTGTGGCTGTTTTGAGGGGCTGTCCCATCAGTGAACATACTGCATGGCCTTGGAGAGAGACTCTGGGCTCTCAGCTCAGAGGTATTCATCAAATACTCCTTTCAGAGCTCTTGTGGGTGTAAGTGACATGATGTGGCCAAAAATCCAAACTGTGCAGTTGCGTTGTGACAAACATGCAATGTGCTGTAAAAACTCGATACAATTTAAATAAAATCTCTATATTAGTGCTGCTTTGTTGGGTCTTTTTCTTCATTTTCAGTTTCTAAGAAAACTTAATACTCATTTTTTCTTTGACCATGAGAAAGGACTGAAACATTATACCCCTTCCTCCCAACCATTTCCGTTTTTTAAATGGCCCTCTCTTTTTATCAGCACAAGCTTAGTTATTGATCAGATAGGGGAGTTATGCTTATGGATCCTACAGGGTTCTATCCCATCTCATGTGAGGTTTATTTCTCTTTAATATCTAAAATTTCACCAGCTGGTTGATCAGGCACACGGGATTGTACCTGTCTCCCTGCTTCCTGCTTCCCTCCTCACAGGCTCCCTCCGTTTTCTTTCCACTTCGGGTAAACGGTCTTGGGAAAAATATTGGCTGAAAAGAGTATATTTCATAACATGTAAAGTGCTACTCTCTAAAAGGTGAATTTGTGTACTCAGGATACTATACCACCATCACCATTTTTATTTGGAGAGACAAGCAATTCAACTGTTAGGACTAAGGTTATACAGTTGTGCCCTTTTCTGTCGAGAAACGTCCGATTTTGTACTGCCCCACTGCTCACTTGCTTAATTCTAAAGTCCCACAGCTCCGCCGGCCGCAGGGAAATATGGGTCTCAGCATTCCACGGGGGTTAACCGGGCCGATTTCTTTGCAGGACGTAACACTACCTGGCGGGCGGCGGTTCCCAGCCCTTCCGGCGGGTTTAGGACGCCGAGAAAGAGCAACTTCCCCGCCACTGCACGTGGCCAGGCCGCGGGGGCTCAGGGGATGGATCGATCGCGGTGCGTCCGGCCGCGCAGGGGGAACTCGAGGCCCCATTGGCCGTGCCAGCGGGCGCCGCGGGGGCTCGTGCACCAACGGTCCCCGGGTTGGCGGCGGCGGCCTGGCGCTGGCAGGAGGGGGGCAGGGCGAAGCGAAGGCCCGGGTTGGGGGGGATCGAGAACGGGGTGTGAGAGCCAGGCTCGGTGGGGCGAGGCCCAGGGCCCGGGCGGGGCGATGGAGGAGGCGCTGCTCTCCACCCCCATCAACCCCAACAACTTCCCCGCCAAACTGTGGCGGCTGGTGAACAGCCCCCCCTCACAAAAAGAGGTAAAGGGTTAAAAATCATAAATCTTGCTCTCAAAATCCATCTCCTCAATTTGGGATGATTTGTTGTCTAAAGGAGGGAAGGAAGGAAGGAAAGAAAGAAAGAAAGAAAGAAAGAAAGAAAGAAAGAAAGAAAGAAAGAAAGAAAGAAAGGTAAACTATAATTAATTTATTAAAATTAGGCGCGGCGGGGCCCGGGCCGGGGCCTGGGGGCGGCGGGCCGGCAGGCGACGGGCCCCTCCATCACTTCCACAGTCCACACTTCCGCCGCGACCAGCCGCACCTGCTCGTGCACCTCAAAAGGCTCACCAGCGCCAACAAGGCCAAACTGGCGGCCGGCCTGGAGGTTCCCTGCCGGCCGCCCAACCGCTTCCAGAGGCTCCTCATCACGTCGGCCTCGGCCTCGGCCTCGGCCTCAGCCTCGGCCTCAGCCTCGGCCGCCACCCCCCCGCTGCCACATCAGGAGCCGCCGCCGCCGCCGCCACCCGCGGGGTCCCGGCCCGAGTCGCACGGTGAGTCTTGCCCCGCGCCGGGCGCACTGCAGTCAGGGGGCAACCGCCACTTCCGAGGGCATTTCCGCATCCTCTCCTTTGCTGTGTCGGGAATGCCCCCGGGAGCCGCTTCCCGCGGTGATTGCCCGGAATTGGCCGTGGCACCTGCACCGCCCTCACCCGTGCCGGCGCCCCTCCCCGCCGGCACCGCCTCTGCGCTGAGTCCTCCGTGAACACTGAGGCCCTTCTGTGTCCGCTAGCGACCACAGGAACCTCTACGTTAGGCTTGCTTTCTAGTCCTCCCGGAACCCTCTGGGCTCCAAACCTGTATAGCCATTTACCTTCTCGAGACGCCGTCTCTCCAAGGCGAACACCTCAAATAAGTAGGCCTTTGTTGGAGCCCTGGTTCTGGAAGAAACACAGAAGGGGCTCCTCTGTTCTGATGGGAAGCAGAACAAAGTTCCTATACAGGGTGAGGATATGGCAAAGGTCAAGGTAGGAGGGAACAGTCACAGCCAAGAGAACTTAGAACATTTATGCCAACCAAGGGAAAGTGAACAAGGGGCCTCGAGTGGCAGTTTGTTCTTGAAGATACATGCCATCTTCCACCCAATGACACATCTAAGAAATCTTGGAAGACGTGTTCTGACAATAATCATATTGTAGGTTCTGGAGTAAGGTGTAGAACAATAGGCGTTGTTTATATATCTTAAAAGCAAAAATATAATAATATATTTTGTTGTTTACCAGACACTGTTCCTGTGTAGAATGAATTGGCTAAACAGTTCTTTCATTATAGCTGATTAGACCTGATGCTTATTTAGTTGTTATGGTTAGACAAATGTAAGGCACAAATGGTTTTCTTTACAAGTGTCAAGTTCTAGTTAAACAGGATTTTAGAAAGCTCACATTTGCAGCCTTTGAATTTTTCACTGTTGCCTTCAGTCTTTCAGTTTTGAAAAAATTTTCTATGTATAAGTTTGTATTTACTCAAAGTTCAAAAACTCTCTGTGATAGAAATTTATTTTATAAACTTGGTTTCTGATGCCCTTCCCCCTCTTCCAGGAAGGTGAGGGTGGCAGTATTCCCTTTCGTTGTTTAAAGAGTCCGTGATATGAAGCAGCATACCAAGAAAGCAACAGAATATAATAATGAGAATTCATTCTTTACCTTCAACTAAAAGAGTAATAGAGACATTTTCATCATGTTAACATGGATTTAACATAAGAGTTGTCGTGGTCCGAGCACGGGTTGGAAAAGAATTTGCAGACACAAGGCAGAATGTTAAGGAAGGTAGAGTTTATTAAAGAGAAGGGTCGCTGCAAGAACAGTGGGCCGACTTCCTGGTAGCTGGGGAAAGTCGACGATGAGCATGGGTTGCTTGTCTGTTTTTGTAGCCAGGGAACCTGCAAGTCATCTGCTGACTGGGCAGAGTACCTATGCTTTCAGTGTGCTGAGCGAGAGAAAAATGGGGCTAATGTCTTTCCTTAAATGGGATGGGAAAGGGACAGGGCATGCTGCTTGGGAGGGCTCTGGGACATCGCAGTGGCCACATTGTGACAGAGTGATAGGAATCCTGTAACTCTTTGTTGTGGCAGTATTGACCCTTTGAGTTTATCTTGTTCTTTGTCCTTGGAGCACACCACAGAAGTGTCTGGGTTACTTCTCAGTTATGGAAAAACTTTAGATATACGAATAAAAGTAACACTATGTTCAGTTTAACCTAGGCCCAGGGTTATGAGTGAAGCAATGTTCATTTGGAATTTAGAAGATAAGGGATTAGGTTGTGTATCTGTGGAGTTTAGAAGATAAGAGATTAGGTTAGAGTTCTAGTAACCAGTTGGAAAAACAGCAGTGGCGTAGGAATGTTCTAAAGGAATTCTAAAGGAATATTAAGCCGCTTACTTCCATATAATGGTCATTGAGTTTGGTGGGGAATTGAATGGGAAAAGGCAGTGGAGACAATACCTTGGCATTCATTTGGTAGAATCTCTGACATGGATATTTGTTTTTCAGATTGTGTGTCTGGTGGGCATAAGGAGAAAAGACTGAAAATGTGTCCGTGGGAAAAATAGGATAACCACTTCAAAGAAAGAAAGAAAGAAAGAAACATACATACATACAAACCAACTCCTGCTCGCTTTTTTCTCTTCTCTGATTTTCTTTTTCTCTCCCCTATCTTAAACCCAGTTGTATTCTAAGGATAGAGTTCATCTTAGTTGAAGAAATACAGGGACTACATAGGATCTGATTTTCTTCACTTACGGTTCAGTTGGTCAGCATTTTAAAGATTATTTGTTGACAAACATAAATTTAATTCATACTTTTTTAGTATAGATAATACATCAATCCATATATACCTAAATTATTGTAGTTTTCGTGCATTTCCTGTTTTCTTACCATTCTCTCTGTTGGTGTGTGCAGAAGCTGTGCCAGGTGTGGATTGTCTACACCACAGGCTTGGTTCACTAGGGAACTGTGTTACTGGTTTGGGTGGAATGTAATTCTGAGTTCAAGAATACTGGCCCAACTTTGTTTTGCTTTAATTCCATGTTCTAAGTCCTTGGCTCTTCTATTTTGCCTCACCTAATTTTTATTCTGCTTGATTCTTGCCTTGGTTATATGCCTGACTACACTGCTCCTTCCCAGTTTCCTTTCTGTTTTCTGTGTGCCACTGCAGCTTCTGGTTTAAATACTTCTCTTTGACAGTAGAATCCTCTGTTTTCGGACCTAGTTGCCTTACCTAGATCCACTGAGCCAGCTGTCCTGTTCACCTTTTGAGAATGTACTTGATAAGAAATGTGAGGATCACATGTTTTTCCCTTTTTTGTTTGCCCACTATTGTTATTTTGTTTTTAGTGGCAGTTTATTTTACACTGCTTGTTGAGGTTTTCTAAACTAAGTAGCAAGTCTGAGCACTAGATAATCTGTTTTTGCCTGGGGATAACAAGCTCTCAAGAGGCAAGTTTTGGGGAAGGAGGCAGATTCTTTCCTGGGGATTGATTAGCTCAGATTCACTTTTATAGACGGAATAGAAAATTTAAGAACAGAAATTCAGCCTGCCTTACAGTTCCAGGATTCTGGATTTAATCTTTACCAAATATATCTTAGATGTTCTGAAGACATGTAGGTGATGTTCTATAAAGTTGGTCAGAATAGAACCCTATGAAGTAACCCTTAACAGAAGAATAAATAAGAGCTGAGCATGTTTTAGTTCTTTATTTTTAAAAAACAAATGGAAAGGAATGTCCTTTTAATCCTAACCGTGTCCTTATGTTAGCAGCATCTAAAGAATATAAATATTTGGCCATCACTCAGAATTTCTCGTAGTAGAAGTAGAATTATATTTTAATTCAGATCTAAACCAGAATTTGAGAAATCAAGGTAGAGCATTCTTTAATTATCTGCTTAAGTTATTGACGTCTGAAAATTCATCAACAACTTAACCCTAAAGAGAGTAAAGAAGGGCACACTGTAGCAACATGAAGTTTTAGCATCCAAGAAAAAATCAAGTGGAGGGCAGTTTGGGACCTCAGAAACCCCTGTTTGTGAAGAGCAAAAAAATGTTTCTTTAGGTGTTAAGACAAAGAATTCTCAGTGGTAGCTCAAAGTGTGCATACATGTGGAATTGCTAGTCAAGTAGCATAACAACTATTTTTGTACTTTAAAGGAAAAAAGGAAAAGTAGTTTTTAAGAGGTGTATCATTTAAATACATTTAATCTTCTGAGCTAAGATTTTTTTTTTTTCACGTTAGATTTAGAGCTCTTGATTTCCAGGTTCCAGAATTGTTTACATATGTGTATGCATATATTTGTTTATTTTTGGCATTAATGCTTTATTCTTTTAAAATTTTATTTTAAGAGTTTATGTGAGCCCAAATCAATTTGAATCAGGCAGCGGCAAACCAGAAGTGGTTAAGAGCGCTCCCTAATGCTTTATTCTTTAGAGGAAATTAAACACTATAGAAATACTAGAACAAAGGAAGTGTAACATGTAGAATGGTTTTACAGTTTAAATATTTGGACAAGTAGGTACCTGAGTGCCATCTTTAGCAGATGAGTAGCACATAAATTAGATTTCCCTCTGTTTTATGGATTAGTTTAATAAAACAAATTGAAAAAACTTTGTGAACTAAATAATTTAGTGGGTAAAGCCCTTCCTAAGAATAAATTAGGCTAGCTATATGTTCAAGAACCACAGTCTTTAAAATAAGTTCAGCTTGCAACATTTACATTTTCCTTTTCCTCATTACATAGTATTGGCCTTTTTCTCTCTTCCTCATCTCCACTTTTTAATTCCTTTCTACTTTGTTAGATAAGAAAAAGCAAATATTGGAATCTCTTGGCCTGTGTGTGTAGATTTTTAGCAAACTCTCCAGGTGATTCAAATGTAAATCAGTGTTTGAGAGCCATTGATATCTAGGAAGGGACGCGCAACTAGAGATACTCTGAAGAAAAAAAGACCATGGAAAATTATTGATTGAGTTAAGGAATGAACAAGCCAGAGTTTTCAAGCTTGACTTTTTTGCAAAGATTTTTATTAAAATTTGGAAAAATTGAAAGGGAGCAAAGAACATTAAATTACTTTTTGGTGTGCGTTATAATTTTTATTTCTTCCATACTTATATCTTTTATGTATATGGTTGAGGGCTTATTTTTGTGCCTATTATTAAGGTTCCTAAATGATTTGAAAGACTGGAATTTCTAAAACTTCTAAGGAAGTAGTTTACAGATTGGAAAAATCTGGGTCAGTTGAGGTGAAAGGTAAGATGACATTTAACATTTGATTTAACGTTAGAGTTTGGCTACTTTGTCTCTTATGACAGTCATATTGAGAACCAGACAAAAGTTATTTGATTATTTTTTCAGCATTATGTGTGTAATCTCATATTCTGGATTCTGAGCAACTTGTTTTTACCAATAAATTTCTGTTGTGTTAAAAGTGGCTGAGAACTCAGCGTAGCCACAAGTGAAGAGAAGCGCATATTTTGTGACTTTTGGTTTACTACGTCTGGTGGTGTAACGTAAGATTAGTAAATGTGCTCCTCCTCTTTTATGCAGGACCAGTGGCTGTAGGACAATTCCACCGGTCGTTCCGGCGAGATAGTTTGTCTCCTTACTCCTACGTGTCAGCTTCATCCCACAACCACGGTACTTTCCCTCTGAAAGGTTTAGATCGGACCCCGATTCCTCCTAGAACATGGCAGAACTCTCTTGGAATGCACCCAGGACAAGTGGAAACGTCTCCCACTTTTTCAGATAAAGGGGTTCCATTTCCTGTACTACAGAGGTTTCCAACTGAGGTTACATATACCCTGCAGCCCAGTGCCACATCCGTACATGTTCAACAAGGTCCTCAAACAATGATCAGCTCCTCCCAAAAATATAGTAACTACACACCCTCAGCGCAGTACTCCCAAGCCTACTATCCAACAGGTATGAGAAATTCAAGTTCAGTGGCTTCTCTTAAGGTACTTTTAATGAGAATTTATATTTTTTTAATGTGTTTCTGTATGCCTAAACAAAAATAGGAATATGCACTTAAGAAATGTCAGAGATTTCTCATGAGTACACATTATTTAGCAATAATGTAAAATTTCATTGATTCTTAAAAGTTGTGAAAATTCTGTTCGTGCGTCGTGAAGGTGTAGGTTTTAATGAAACTGCTGTATCCTCAAAATATGTCCTAGTAATAAAATTAAGACTTAGTGCATCAGACCTTGGTATAACTCCTGCTCTTGGTGTAGTAGTTTTTTGGTTTTTGTGGGTTTCTTCTTTTTTAGAAAACCTGCTTATATACATATTACATTGTTTATTTTTTAGTTATGTAGGTGAGACTACCTCATAACGAAATCATGTTAGTATCTCAGTAACGAAGTTTAATAAAAGAGCAACTCACCATCTCTTAAGACTGAATTATATTCTTGTAGTAAAAATGTGATGGTGTGTTTTGGCAGTGCAGTCCCTGCAGTGTTAATCCCAGCCAGTGAAGAACTGGGAGTAGCAGAGAGAAGAGCCTGACAATGACAACTGACCCAGAGCCCAGCCAAGGGCATGGAAGCTCTGCTAGTAGATCTCAAGCCACTCATTGGGAATCCTTAAGATAGTGACCCTGTATTTAGCTTCTTGGGGCTAGGGAGTGTCTTTTTTTTTGGGGGGGGGTACATTTTTGCAAAATGATAGCATTACCATTTAATTCAGAACAATTTCATAGTTTTGCAGAAGCACCGTAGAGGTGATGTGTGTTTTCATGTAGTGTTTACCCAGAGTGATGAAATGGGGCAAAAGAAACAAGTCAAGGGTCAAGGCTTTCAGAAAAGACTGGGAAGAGAAGAAAGGGGGAAATCCTTTGCCCTATGAATTAAGGTTCTAGGCATATTAATTAAGTACATCTGGAAGCAATTTCTAGAGGTATTTTGTTAGACCATTTTTCCCAGGCAGGAGGAAATCAAAAGCTAAAATAAGTGGAAGGCATGTGAATTAGATAAGGGGGTAAATAATTTGTTGCCTTTTAAAAGTTGTAAATTTGGGAACTGTTCCATTTGTAATAATACTATTTTCTAGCTGGTAGCATCCAACATATTGTTTTATTATCGGCTCATTGCAGTTTACCTAAATATGGCCAGTAAAAGGGATTGCTTTATTTTCTCAAAGCACTTAAGTTTAATAATATTAAAATAATAAAACCAGAATTTAAATTAGATTGGGTTGTATAGATTTTTGGAGCTGCTACTGTTTTGGAGGATGGAGTTGAGAAGGAAAAGGGGAAGGAATTATATGGAGTAAGATGATGTAGCACTTCTAATCATTTACCTATTAGAGATTAAAAAAAATTTTTTACCTTATTATATAAAAAAAAAGTTGAGGCCTAGTTCTTTTTCCCAGATTTTCAGCTACTTCTTTGAAGAACAAAAATATCTGGGTGATCTTTAAAAACAGAAGATGACTAATTTCATGCTGTAAGTTGTATATCTTATGTATAGCAACAAATAGTATCAGATTTTTATTGAGGAGTTTAATCCAATATTTTAATAAACAAATTAGGCATTTCTATCTAAATTATAATTTTGGCTGCCTTCCATATATGCATAGAATATATATATAAAGCTTCTGGGGAGTTGAAATTTAGAAGGACTGCAACAGAGAGATGTAGAAATGTTCTTGGCCTTCTAATTTGGAATTTTGGAGAAATTTTTCTATCGACATATTAGACATAGTGGTTAGGTTCTATATTACTGTTGGTCCTTCTGTTAAGGTATAGATGGTTATAGTCTGGCTGAGGAGCCAGACTAGCCTATATGATGATGTTTCTACGGGAAAATGTATTCCAAGTTCCAAACAGTCCTCTTGGAAACTCCTAGTTCTAAATTTTATGAGAACTAGTTATATAGTATTTACTAGAAAACACTACAGATAGTTAATATTATTCCTCATTATGGAAATACTGTTTGTTAAATTATTGTGATTTAAGGATATATGTTATTTTAAAATATTTTATGTTAGCTTGGATTTAAATTTATAAATAAATTTATTAATTTGATAATTACACTGGAAATCGTCTCCAAGAGTCCAAGGTAAGGACTAGGGAAGAGACACATTAAAAGAACAAGTAAGTACTGCTGATGTTTTGATAATGTAGAGTGAATATGAAATGGAATCTGGGGTTATGTGAATTTTTTGTTTTGTCTTCTTTCATATGGATAATTGAAATGACTATGAAGGTTCTGAGGTTACGAGAAAAAGAAATCTCTTTATTTCATGATGACTTCAAATATATAGAGTAGTTCTATGATACAACGTAGGCAGAATTGCTTTGAACATTCTGAACTACTATATAAATAAAATAATAAAAAGTTGTATTGTTAAATACAAAAGACCTGCTACGGAAAAGAAAGTGCTAAAGAAATACTGTACAAGTACTTAATTGCTCCAAATTTTAGGTGAAGGAAGCAAAAAGTAGTGAGCAATTTAACCAATATTTAGTGAGTACCTGTTTATGAAGGGTTTTACAAATGACTTTCCCAGAGTTAAGTAAAATACTATTCTCAGAGGCAGGATGATAATCACTCCCAAATCCAGCTCTCCAAATCCTAATAAAGTAACTAATTTTGGAATAATGGTCATACTTGTATCCTTTCAAAGTGAACTATGTAACTTGAGGTTTGGATCAAATTTTAGTAAAAAACAATACTCAACTTCATTTAAAACTTAGTTATAGGGCTTTCCTGGTGGCGCAGTGGTTGAGAGTCCGCCTGCCGATGCAGGGGACGCGGGTTCGCGCCCCGGTCCGGGAAGATCCCACATGCCGCGGAGCTGCTGGGCCCGTGAGCCATGGCCGCTGGGCCTGCGCGTCCGGGGCCTGTGCTCCGCGGCGGGAGAGGCCACAGCAGTGAGAGGCCCACGTGCCGCAAAAAACAAAAACAAACAAAAAAAACCCTTAGTTATATTGAAAATAAACTTGGATCTGGTCTTCAAATGGTATAACCAGTAAATTTTGAATTTTGTAATATTTCATAAATTATTAATTTCTCTAGTAAAGCAAAACATTGAGACTAAAAAACTGCTATCAGACTGACTCCTAAATTGACTCACCTGAATTATTTCTTACATTTGTCATTCCTCTCTTGAAGCATCTGTTTTCTTTTTTAATAATTATTTATTTAATTTTTTTTGGCTGCGTAGGGTCTTAGTTGTGGCACGCGGGGTCTTCATTGCGGTGCGGGCTCTTCATTTTGGCACATGGGCTTCTCTCTAGTTGTGGTGTATAGGTTTTCTCTCTCTAGTTGTGGCACGCAGGCTTAATTGCTCTCTGGTATGGAAGGCGGATTCTTTACCACTGGCCCACCAAGGAAGTCCTGAAGCATCTGTTTTCTTTGCCTAGATCGTTTATATTTTTTCCAGTCTTATCACTTCTTCAAAGACAAAATGTTGTAGATCCAGTGCTATTTGACTCTTTTTAGTCTTACCCTATCTTGAATTCAGTTTTTTTCCTCTAATGCTATTTTCACAGTGTGCTGCTATAATTTAATGTCCCTTTTTTATAAAAAACTTCATTTTAGACCTTTTTATTTTACTCATTCTCTATATATTTGAACATACATAAGAATATTAATATATTCATATTTATATATAGAGTCCTGTATTGAGGAATTGTTTTCCTTTGACTCATGTAATGCTGAATTGACTCAAAATCAACTTTGATTTTTTTTCTGCATTGTTTTAAGCTCACAGCAGTGATCAGCAATTTTTAGCTGCCTTTTACCTCATATTTTAATTAACAAATACTTGTATAGCAATCACTGTGACCAGGTACTATTCTGAGCACTTTCCAAATATTAATTAATTTAATCCTCACAGCAACCTTATAAGATAGGGAATGTAGTTACCCTCATTTTATAGATTAGAAACTGAAGCACAGCCAGGCACAAGCAGGGCCGGGGAACAAATCCGGGCAAACTGACTCAAGGGTTCATTATTTTGGCCACTGTGCTCTGCTGCCTGCCTGCCTGTCATACAAAGAGGGACTTTTGTTTTTCTTTTGTGAGAGACTCTTTCCTGATATATCTCTTCCCCAGAGTTAGTTACTTCCCGATAGGGTAGATGACAGAGTTTGGTGGGGGGAACTCCCCTTCTATGCTGCCGCTGGCAGTGGGACTGGCCGTGGGCTATTGACTCACCCTGCTCAAGCAGAGAGAACATACTCCAGCTGCTGGAGTCAGGGGTCCACTTTGGGGCCTCTGAGGAGTGGCGCTGTGTCTAATTAATTCATTTTTGTATCCCCCTGCACCTACCATAGTGCTTGGCCATAATGGGCCCTTAGTAAATAATTTATTGAATGAATGAAATAATTCTAGTCTCAGCTTTGCAGTTAATCATCTGATGGACATTGTGACATTCTGTGGATTATTTCATGTCACTCAGCCTCAGTTTCCGTTTCTATAAAGTGGCAATAATATTTTGGGTCGGGGATTAAATGAATTAATGTATGTGAATAGACTATAAAACTTAAAACACTATTTACATATAAAGGGTAACATTTTAAAAACTGTATTTAAAGTGAGCCTAGATATTAATACTTTAAAGGCTAACTAAAGTGATTTGTAAGAACATAGCCTTCCCCTGAAGGTACATATGTTTATTGAAAAACATATTTTGTATCATTATTAAAAAGTTTTTCTGAATTGACTCTTGGGCAAAGAAGGTTGCTTATTATTGTTTTAAAGTACATTAAATTTTAAAGATTTGATCTTTAGGCTTCTAATCCTACATAATGTACATAAACAAGTATGGAATCTCAAGTTATAAGAGCTTTCTGATGCTCAGGTAGCCTGTATTGTCAGTTTCTCCGAAAAGGGCTGATTTTGTTCTTATGGAAAGAGGGACTTGGCATAGATACACCAGGAGGTTTTCTTTAGCTGCCGGAAGAAACTAAGCAAAAGCACAATTATATTTTCCTTTCTCTTTATTGAGGTAAAATATATGTAACATAGAATTACCATTTTAACTATTTTTAAGTGTACAGCTCTGTGGCATTAAATACTTTCACATTATTGTACTCGCATCACCACCATCCATTTCCAGAACTTTTTCGTCTTCCCCCAGCTGAAATCTGTATCCATTAAACACTAGCTTCACATTCCCCTCTCGCCATCTTTTGGCAACCACCATTCTACTTTCTGTCTTGAAGAATTTGATAACTCTAGGGACTTCGTATAAGAGCAGACATATATTTGTCCTTTTGTGATTGGCTTATTTCACTTATTTCAAGAGTCATTGATACTGTGGCATGAGTCAACATTTCCTTCCTTTTTATTTTTTATAAATTTATTTATTTTTGGCTACATTGGTTCTTTTTTTTAACATCTTTATTGGAGTATAATTGCTTTACAATGGTGTGTTAGTTTCTGCTTTATTACAAAATGAATCAGTTATACATATACATATGTCCCCATATCTCTTCCCTCTTGCATCTCCCTCCCTGCTGCATTGGTTCTTCGTTGCTGTGTGTGGGCTTTCTCTGGTTGCGGTGAGTGGGGGCTACTCTTCATTGCGGAGCACAAGCTCCAGGCACGCGGGCTTCAGTAGTTGTGGCACGCGGGCTTGGTAGTTGTGGCTCGCAGGCTCTAGAGCGCAGGCTCCGTAGTTATGGCTCACAGGCTTAGTTGCTGTGTGGCATGTGGGATCTTCCTGGACCAGGGCTCGAACCCCTGTCCCCTGCATTGGCAGGTGGATTATTAACCACTGTGACAACAGGGAAGTCCCTCCTTCCTTTTTAATGCTGAATAATTTTCTATAAATTTCCATATGTATGGACCACATTTTGTTTATCCGTTCACCTGTTGATAGACACTGGGTTGCTTCCACCTTTGGCTACTGTGAATAATGCTGCTATGAACTTGGTTGTACAATAATCTGTTGTGCTTTCACTTCTTTTGGGTATAGGCTGGAACACCATTTCTTTTCAAATTAAATTAAATTATTTATTTGGCTGCGGTGCGCGGGTTTTCTCTAGTTGTGGCGAGCGGGGGCTACTCTTCGTTGCAGTGCGCGGGCTTCTCATTGCGGTGGCTTCTCTTGTTGTGGAGCACGGGGCTCTAGGCGTGTGGGCTTCAGTAGCTGTGTCACGCAGGCTCAGTAGTTGTGGCACACGGGCTTAGTTGCTCCGCGGCATGTGGGATCTTCTTGGACCAGGGCTCGAGCCCGTGTCCCCTGCATTGGCAGGCAGCTTCTTAACCACTGTGCCACCAGGGAAGTCCCTAGAAAACCATATCTTTACCTCACTGTAGATGAGGAGATGTTGGGGTTCTAGTTGCTGTAGTAACTTATCTTGAAATTAAATTTACTATTTATTAGGATGTTTTTCCTTTTGAGTATTTATATTGGGTATTTCCTTACTGTTGACACTGTACTATTCGAGAGTAGATTCACGTCCAAAACATTTTAATTATAGATTTGAATTACCTCCATAGGATAAAGTATATGAACCTCTTTTCCTAACCTATAGTGGATGTGAAAAATTTTACCTTTAGATAAATTTTTAGTAATCCTGGCTTTATTTTATTACTAGAATTGTTTTTTTGTTTTTGTTTTTCTTTGCGGTACAAGGGCCGCTCACTGTTGTGGCCTCTCCCGCCGCGGAGCACAGACAGGCTCCGGATGCGCAGGCTCAGCGGCCATGGCTCACGGGCCCAGCCGCTCCGCGGCATGTGGGATCTTCCCGGACCGGGGCGCTAACCCGTGTCCCCTGCATCGGCAGGCGGACTCTCAACCACTGCGCCACCAGGGAAGCCCTAGAATTGTTTTTTTAAATGTCATCAGCTCATATTTATATATGAAATAGAAATTGTTCATTATTTCCAGTTTTTTATTCTATATGCAGTTTAATGCCTTAAGTGAACACTGGCTTCAGGAAAATACTGGAAGATCTTTATGCAGATGAACGTGTCTTAGGACATAGCGATAAACTCAGTTTTATAAATGTTAGTGCTTTCCCAGTGCTTTCATAATACATGCTAGATGAATTTGTCATGTACTAAGCACACAGTTGCAGTTTTATAGCTAGGTTTTCATATTCAGTGAACTTATTAATACTTTGTTTTGTTCTATTTTGTTGATTATACGAAGTAGCACTGCACTGGTAAGGAAATAGCCATTGAGGAATCTTTTTGGATTATCTGTTCAAGTCCTCCCTTTCTTCATGCAGGTACCTTTCTACTTTCCATTTGTAACTGGACACTTTAAAGGATATTCACTATTTTGCTGTTTCCTTAGATTCCAAATCAGCTATCAACTATCTATTAATATATTCTCTGTTATATATTCTATTTCTCCAAGAAATTTATTTTAAAGTACACTTTAACAACTATTCAAAAATGTGTAAACAATGGAGTCAGATCATAGCAATATCAGAAAAATAAAGCTAATACCTTTCACTGATTTATTTGTAACAAAACACTTTTATGGTGCCCTGATGGGTGAAAACCTGCAGCCCCTGACCGAGTCCTTTACTGCCACTAGGGGGCTAAGTTTTCCTTAGCTGTTAAAACTAAAGATCCCAGTTTTTTTCAGTTTTGGCGAACCCCGCAGACCCCTCCTTTGCTGTTTTGCTTTTTGGATTTAACTTATGTCCCAGGATATTTGTGTCTTTAAATATTATGGGAAACCAAATTCAAATCCAAAACATATTAATTGTGTATTTGAATAATCTCCAAGGATATTGGAAATGACAACAGCTTGAATTTTATGTGACCATTCTAGTAATATCTGGCTTTTTTAACCACTGGACTTGTTAAAATTATGTAATTCAGAAAACATCAACCCTTATGTCTGTAATTGGACTAGAATTCTATCCATTATTTTAATTTTTTACTTCTGTGTGCAAAATGTAATGCCTTAAAATGCACATGATAAAATAAAATATTTATTTCTTGTATACCTTTATGAACTTCTGACATTTAAAAATTCAGTAGTCAGTAATGGAGAAATAGGGAAGCATTTTAATGAATTTTTACAATCCTTAGGCTAATTTACTTCAAAGTTTACCGAATAAGATTATTTAGTAATATTATTAGCATACTCAAAATATGAAAAACATGGACCAAAAAAGAGAAAGTTGCCACCTTATAAAAAGGATACCTTAAAAATATTCAGCAAGTGGAGTTCTAGTAAAATTAAAATATTACATTTAGGAAGAAGAAAAGATTAGGGAAGTATTATGATATATTAAAGAGCATGTACTTTGGAGTTTGCCTCTGTCACTATCAGCATTGTGACTTTCGGCACATTTTTTAACATCCCTGAGCTTTAGTTTCCTTATTTTTATAAAGTAATGTTAACACCTCATTCAGTTGTTGTTTGGATTAAATGAGGCCATATATGTAAAGGACCTAGGACTGTGCCTGGAATATGGTAGCTGTTCAACAAATGTCATCCTCTGTTTAATCCAAAGATGTGATGTTATAACTGATTCTCAGTCGTTCTGGAGGGTCTCTCTCTGGAAAAGAGGAGACTCAACCTATTATTAAGCCTACATCTGTAAGTATGACTCTACCAGTAGAAAGAGTTCAGTCTTTTCATGGTATCCTAACTATAAAGAGAAAGTTTGGAAAATGTATTTCCTTAGCTAAAATAATAGCATTGTTAGCTATTTATTTATTGATTGTTACTGTATGCCAGTACTGTTCTTAGTGCTTTGTGCATATTAACTCATTCACTCCTCACATTAACGTTGCTCAAGTTTATACAGCTATTAAAATTTTGGAGCTGGGCTCCAAAGCCAGGCAGTCTGGCTCTAGAATCTGAGTTCCTAACCACTTGTCTAAATTGTTAAAACATTTTTTCATAGATTCCACTGGATGCATTGTATAACAGTAGGAGTGTTTGGAGAGTACTTATACTTATTTTATCCTTAAAAACCTTCCTCCAAATGTTTGTTACTATTAAAATGATTGAAAAAATTATTTTAGAATTCTGAATATGTTCTGATATCTTCAGTAAAAGGAAATTGCTACTTTCAGGAAGAATAAATGTTTGGTTAGAAGGGCGACAAAATGTTTAGGTGCTAAAGAAATCATTTATAAAAGTAGACCTGACCCTTTTAAATGACTTTTAAAATTGCCTTATTACCATTTGTTTTCAACAAATAAGGGCACCTAATTGGACTAAATATATTTTATTGCACCCACAAAGAAAAACTTTTGGAATTTTTTGTTCCAAGTTGAAAGAGAGGAGTGCCTTGAATGCTGTAGAGGTTTATTTGGGTTGACGGCTTTTCTGTGTTTGGATTTGTTCCAGCTGTGCTGCAGTGCTGCTCTCCTACCCACATGGATGCGCTCAGTAGCTGTGTGACTCCCACTGCCCCTTCCTATGCACACTGCAACTACTTCCAGGTAAGATGCTGGGAACAATGGACATACCCTGCGTCAGGTGCAATGCGATTGGCCTTGCAGAATTCCAAAGTGTAATTTTATCTTAACGAGTAGCCAGAGGTAAGCTGTGGATTATGGCCTTAGTTTTACTCAATTCTAAAAAAAAAAAAAGAGTTGATGTAAATGATGTCTGAAGATTCTTCTAGGCCTACACTATCTTCTTGGCCTACTCTTAGGCACTAGCCACATGTAGCTATTTAAATTTAAATGAATTAAAGTTAAATAAAATTTAAAAATCATTCCTCAGTAGGGAGGGTGGGAGGGAGGGAGACGCAAGAGGGAGGAGATATGGGGATATATGTATATGTATAGCTGATTCACTTTGTTATGAAGCAGAAACTAACACACCATTGTAACCAATTATACTCCAATAAAGATGTTAAAAAAAAAATTATTCCTCAGTCACAGTAGCCACATTTCAGGTGCTTAATAGTTTCATTTGGCTAGTGGTTACCAAATTTTATAGTACAGATAGAGAACATTTTCATCATTGCTGACAGTTAGTTGGAACAATGTTGTTCAACTAACTGTCAACAATGGTAAACTTGAATACCATGGTAAAATGAATACCAGATAAACTCTAAAAGTATATAAATCACCAAATGACAGATCCTTCCAAGGTGGTACAATTACTTTTTTTTTAAAGGAGAAAGGAAAATGATGTCAAAACTGAGAAAGCCCCCATGTTGTAAACACTGCACTTCAGTTTTTTTCTCATATTTGTTAGGAAGCAATTGCTTTGATTTAGATGTTGTAGACTACTACTTCTAGGATAAGATTCAATCCCATGTTTGTATTTTTATGCTATAGTTGCTTAAAGATTGGAATTGTTTTCCTTTGATATCATGTAGTCATGATAGCTTCTGTTCTTTAGAGAATATCTTACTATCGACATTCCAGTACTCAAAAGAACATTCCTTTTTTCTTTTTTGTCTTTTCTTTCTTTTCTTTTTTTTTGAGGGGTATAGAATCAGATCAAGGGGACTTAGCTGGACATTTTTAATGGCAGCTGTCATCAAGCATGTTAGTCTAGCCGATTCATCTTCACTGGAAGGACATATCTATCTCACAAATTAGATGCTCTTGTCTGTAGGTCCAGGCATTCTCTCCCCTGGATCATACTGGAGATACTCTGTTGGTGTATATCTTGATTATATTTATGTTTTAAATAAATCATTTAAAACATCTTTGAAGACCTTTGCTTACTACAAAGACAATACATGTTCACTGTAGGAAAATAGAGATAAGTAGACATAAAATTTTTAAATGGAAAAAAGGGAAGTATTTCAGATAACATTCTGGAAATAAATGCAGTTAGTTTTGTTGGCGTGCAGATATGAGTGTGCATGAATGGTCAGTATATTGCAGTGGTTAAGAGCAAGAACTTTAGAGTCAGGCACACCTAGGTTTGAAACCTGACTCAGTCAGTTACTTCTTTGTGACTTTGTATAAATTATGAAGTTTCTCTGAACTTCAGTTCCATCCTTTGGAAATAGAGAGGATCACATTTCATAGACCTCTTGTGAGGATTAAATTAAATAATGTACGTAAAGCACTTTGTATATGCTTGGTACATAGTAAGATCTCAATAAGTGGGGCTATCAGCTATAGTAAAGTAGCTTGATGCTTAAACCATTTAGATTTACATTATTTGGCATTATGGCCTTCAAATCATCGACGCAATCATTGTCAATGTGTTTGGCAATATTGACTCACTACATGTTTTATTTAATAGTAACTCTTCCATATCTTATGTTTATAACCTGAGATATTCAGCAAACATTTATTGAATGCCTGCTCTGTGCAAAGTACTGTGTATAAGAGAATACATCTTGAAGATATCAGTCTAAAAGTGACAGCTATTTTAATCTGTTGTTTTATTATTAAAATAAATAATCTCAGGACCAAAGGACATTTGATATTCGATACATTTTTTCCCAGAGCATTTGGAAGAGAATATCAGTACCTCCCCCCTGAATCTATAGAATCATTGGTGGACTTGTGAGCATCCGGTGTTTGACATTTCCTTACTACATTCCTAAAACAGTATATTACAGATACAAGTGATGTTTTTGTCTGTCAGCCTTTATGGAAGAATTTGGTTTATAGACATTTTATCAACAAATAGGTTTTTGGGCACTATGACTTTTTTGATTTTGTGTACTTAAACCCTGAGAATTATTGGTCCATTCCAGTATTAAACTTAATATAGTGGTTGACACATAATAGTTCCTGTGTAAGTGTTAACAATAGAGTCGAAGCTACTACTGCTGAAAAGTTGATTGGCATTCAGGTTTTCTTAGTGAGCTTTAATTTGTTTATATTTAGCGTTCATCAGCCTAAATGTTGTTGCCTTCCTCCTTAATCTCATATTTGGTTTTCTATCCAAACAGTCCTATTTTCTCTTTTCCCAGAATCCTCCAGTGCAATCTTCCTATCCAGTTGAATTTCTGCCTTCTAATTGGCCTTGCAGTGCTACTGATGAAAATAAAAAGACAGAAGTAAACCTAGAGGCTATTTTTCAGATAGTAGATGAGTTGCATTCCTCCCCTAAATTGGAGATGGTAAAGGTGGAGCCTGTTGAGAATCAGTGCTCAACATCTCAGTCTAACAGAGGCCAACATATCCTAGCTAATTCAAACAACAGCAATCCATCTTCCACAAGTCAGGCTAGCCAGCTGGAGCCACTTACTGCTGTAGGCTCAGATATTACATCTTTTGTGGCTGGAACAGAACAAGCAATTACCTGCTCTCTACCACAGTCACCTGAGTACAACTACACCATCCACACAGCTCAGCCTGTTGAAAACACTACAATGCAGGAGTCTGCAGCCAGCCAGCAAGCTCACATCAAACCGAAGGAGCAGCTAAGTCATAATCCATCTCCGTCTTCAGTAGTATTTGTGCAGGAAGGGCTACCGTTCAGCACACACCAGGTAAGAGGCAAAGAAAAAATCCTAATAGAGCTCAAAGGTACCTAGTGCTTCTTGCTGAAGACTGTTCTAGTGGAGACTTGGTCCAGGTTTTATTTGGGTTTAATACCAGTTCATTATGCTCTTCAGAAGGATCGTGTCCCAGTGGTTCTGCACAAAAGATTCAGAAAGAAGTAACCTTAACCCTCAGGCATCCTCTCACTACGTTGTGGTCTGAAGTCAGCCTCTAGAGAGGCAGTCTGAATGAGCATTGTGGTATGACTTATTTTCATGTTAAAAGCATCCCTTGAGTTTTGCTTCCTAACTTAGTTTGGATGGACTAGGTGTGCCTGGCTGATTAAATTCCACTCCTCAGAAGGGATGGTTTATCTCATAGATAATATCAGGACTTTCCTGGCCATTTGTAGTATGGAGGTAAGGAGATGGTTGGAGGTGTTTGCATACTTTCTTACAGCATCATTGAATTCTAAATTTTTTAAAAAGATTTATTTATTTGCTTAATTTATTTTTGGCTGTGTCGGGTCTTAGTTGCAGCAGGCAGGATCTTCGTTGAGGCATGGGGGATCTTTCGTTGTGGCGTGCAGGTTTTCTCTCTCTAGTTGTGGTGTGCAGGCTCCAAGGCGTGTGGGCTTTGTAGTTTGTGGCACGCCGGCTCTCTCGTTGAGGCGCGTGGGCTCAGTAGTTGTGGCGTGAGGGTTTAGTTGCCCCATGGCATGAGGGATCTTAGTTCCCTGACCAGGGATTGAACTCGCATCCCCTGCATTGTAAGGTGGATTCTTTTTTTTTTTTTTTTTTTTTTTTGCGGTATGTGGGCCTCTCACTGTTGTGGTCCCTCCCGTTGCGGAGCACAGGCTCCGGACGCGCAGGCCCAGCGGCCATGGCTCACGAGCCCAGCCGCTCCGCGGCATGCGGGATCCTCCCAGACCGGGGCACGAACCCGCATCCCCTGCATCGGCAGGCGGACTCCCAACCACTGCGCCACCAGGGAAGCCCGTAAGGTGGATTCTTTACCACTGGACCACCAGGGAAGTCCCTATAGAATTCTAATTTGACTTGACAGCATACTGTGTTTGAATTTCCCTACTAATATTCTCATTCCTAAAGCAGAATTCTGACTCTAGTTTGAGAGATATATTCTGAAGGTAGAGACTAATTCCTTTATTGCTGCTAGCTTATGACCAGGAACTGAATAAACTTTGATTCTAAAAAATAAAAGTACATCCAAATTAAAATCACTTTTGTGATTAAGTATTTTTTTTCCTACTTAATTTTTTTTCTTCATCTTAGCCTGATACATATGTATTTCATTTTGGATTTTTTTTCTTTAATGGAACTGAAAATGTCTTCATTGTTAGAGATTCCCAAGATAACTTTTTGGCAGTTTGCATGTGTGTGTGTGTGGTGGGGGGGCGGGTTGTGGCCGCACCGCACGGTTTGTGGGATTTTAGTTTCCTGACCAGGGGTTGAACCCAGGCCCTCGGCAGTGAGAGCGCAGAGTCCTAACCAATGGACCACCAGGGAATTTCTGGCAGTTTTTAAAATGCATTCTTTTCTAGCTCTAACTTTAGATCCAAATGTCTTATGGGGTTTTGGGGGTTATTTAATTAATTAATTAATTTATTTATTTATTTATTCATTTTTTGCGGTACACGGGCCTCTCACTGTTGTGGCCTCTCCCGCTGTGGAGCACAGGCTCCGGACGCGCAGGCTCAGCGGCCACGGCTCACGGGCCTAGCCGCTCCACGGCATGTGGGATCCTCCAGGACCGGGGCACGAACCCGTGTCCCGTGCATCGGCAGGCGGACTCTCAACCACTGCGCCACCAGGGAAGCCCAATTTATTTAATTTATTTTTGGCTGTGTTGGGTCTTCGTTGCTGCGCATGGGCTTTCTCTAGTTGCGTCAAGTGAGGGATACTCTTCGTTATGGTGCGTGGGCTTCCCATTGCAGTGGCTTCTCTTGTTGTGGAGCACCGGCTCTAGGTGCGCGGGCGTCAGTAGTTGTGGCACACGGGCTTAGTTGCTCCGCGGCATGTGGAATCTTCCTGGACCAGGGCTCGAACCCGGTCCTCTGCATTGGCAGGCGGATTCTTAACCACTGCACCACCAGGGAAGCCCTATCTTATGGTTTTTATCAACTCATTGTCCTTCTTGAGCCCAACTGTTGAGACCCGGTATACTATGTATTAATATTATAAATTCAATAGACCAAAGATAGTCCCATTATGTTTCAAATATGCCTGTGAAAAGAACATGAAATTTGCCTTTATTCCTTCATAGTCACATCCAAAAGATTAGATTTCGTACCTTTAAATTGCATTCACACAGTTATTTTTTAAAAAAAATTTGGATATCACAGCTTTGAAAGCTGTATTTTGAACTCCTAGCTCTACTTCATTATATTGTTTTATTTTAAAATAAATTCATAAACAAATAGAGTATTTGAGAAGTTGGTCAGCTTGACAAAGGGATTTGATATTCCAAAGAAAACATAGGAACTCCAAGAGAGAAATTCATATGTCATAAGCAGGGCAGATCTAGATTTTATAGGGAGTGAAGCTTATACAAATTTGAGGTCCTCATTAAGCCAAAGAATACAAAATTAATAGAATAAAGTGTTTATAACCCCTCTGACATCATCCAACAGGATCATGCCTATGGCCATTCCAGTATCACCAAGAGGGGCAGGCAATCTGATGGAAGGGATGTTAGAGTGGGAAAAGAGTGGTATTAACCAATTGTGAATTTGTGTGATGTGAATTTTACCAAAAAAAAGAAAAGAAACTTCATGGTGAATCTTCCTCTGATCATAAGTAAATATTTTAGCTCCATAGACATTTCAGTAGTTTGTGTATGGGGAAATATACATCTTACTACCGAATATTCAGAATAGCTTAACAAAATCGGGTGGTATCATTCTTTTTTTTTTTTTGGCGGTAAGAAAATGGCGGGCCTTTTTAAAGAAAATGGCGGGCCTCTCACTGCTGTGGCCTCTCCTGCTGCAGAGCACAGGCTCCGGATGCGCAGGCTCAGCGGCCATGGCTCACGGGCTCAGCCACTCCGTGGCTTGTGGCATCCTCCCGGACCGGGACACGAACCCACGTCCCCTGCATCGGCAGGCGGACTCTCAACCACTGCGCCACCAGGGAAGTCTCGATGATATCATTCTTAAGAATGAAAAGCCTTACGGTCTTATTTGTTGGATCATGTTTCTATAGTAGAACTCCTCTGATAAAATATCTTAACTTTTAGTAGATATTTGGGGAAAATTTGGAATAATGAGTGGGTTTAATATTTTAGGTGGATGCCAGTATAAAATGCCAGATCAAAACACCTGAGAATATCTTGCCTTCAGAACAGATGGGATTCCTTATTTCAGAAATGGGGCCTGCTAGCAAGCCTAATAAAGACACAGGTTTATCCACTCCAGCCAGATACAGAGAGCGAGGAAGCAACTCACAGCAAGGAACGTCCCCTGGTAAGGATGACTGTGCTCTAGAATGCTAGCAGTAGAATCATAGTGTAGAATTAATATATGAGTGATAGTTTTCCTGGTCTTCATTTATTATTCATAATTGTAATATACTAATCACATTGCTGTTTCATACAACTGCAATTTTAACTCTTTATTTTTTTCTTAATCATCCTTTTAAAGTATGTAAAAGTTATATTCCAGTATTGCATGTAAGAATATGAGCTTTTGAAAAGAGAACATGGTAAGTAAAAGCAAAGGAATTTGGATTATTTAACTTGGAGAATGCAAGGATGAAGGGTGATTCAGTAACTGCTTCAGATGCCAAAGACTTTGTAATTACGGAAGTACTTCTCTTATTAGCGGAGTATATAGTACAAGAGGGAATGTGCTTAAACTGTGGCAGGAGAAAATTAGATGGACATTAAAGACATTATCCTGAGCATATTATAAAGATACTCTAAAGTATGACTCTGTATCAATGGGATTTTTCTTGTGGTTTGTAGGAGCCCGAGTGATTGTTTTAGTATAGTTGCTGCTACTCTTTCTAGGGAAATTGGAAAGAATCATTTTTTTAAGAAAATGGTGACATCCAATAAAACATGTTTCTTGTATGATCCAAAACCAGGTCGTCAAAGTCTTCAGTGGACAACTTGAATATTCTCAAATTATATGCATGTCAGAGGCATGCAATTCAGTGAATTAATGAATCAGGTTAAGCAATCATTTTAACCTATAAAAAGTGGAAAAATCTTGGGAACTTCTGTGAGAATTTCTCCAAAGAGTAAACTAATAGTAATATGATCGAGATGTTGTTTAGACTCATTGGGTTCTTTCTGCAAAATGCCTTTTAGACTAAAAGCTATCTTGATCACTCATTTTATTTGTTAAACTTAGCCTGCACAGTTGCTTTTAGTTGAGTATATGATCCAATCTACGATCAAAGATTAAGATTTCTTACCACTGAAGATGTTCAAAGCAATGGCATAGACTTTGGAGGCAATTTAGAAAAGGACAGTACGAATATTTACTACACACTCACTTTTATGACGTACAGCAAACTTGATGAAACTGGTATTATCGTCTTAAAGATCGGGAAACTTAATCTTGGAGAGGATAAGTAACTTGTTCAAGATCACATTAATTTAGCTAATATTCTACTCACAGTCCTTCTGTTGACTGTGTCCTTTGATGCACAAAAGTTTTAAGTTTTAGGTAGTCCCATTTGTCTACTTTTCCTTTTGTTGCCTGTGCTTTTGGTGCTGTATCCAAGAAAGCATTGCCAAGTCCAGTGTCATGAAGTTTTTCCACTATGTTTTCTTCCAGGAGTTTTATAGTTTTAGGTCTTATATTTAGGTCTTTAGTCCATTTTGAGTTAATATTTGTAGACAGTGTAAGATAAGGGTCCAACTTTATTCTTTTGCATGTGGACATCCAGTTTTCCTAGCACCATTTGTTGAAGAGACCTTTCCCCGTTGAGTGGCCTTGGCATCCTTGTTGAAAGTCATCTGACCATATATGTGAGGGTTTATTTCTGGTTTCTTTATTCCAGTCCACTGGTCTATTTTTCTGTCGTTATGCCAGTACCATATAATCTCTGTTTAACCAATCAATTCTGCCATTGTAGCACAAAAGCAGTCATAGATAATACATAAATGAATGTTTGTGGCTATGCTTCAGTAAAACTATTTACAAAAACAGTTGCTGGGCCCAATTTGACCCAAAGGTCATAATTTACCAACCCCTGAGTTAGACTAACAGTTTATTTCTGAAAAGCAACAGTGGAAGCCGGAAAGGAGTAGAATCATATTTTTAATATATTAAAAGAAATCTGCAGTCCTGGAAATCTCTACCCAGCCAAAAGATCCTTCAATAATGATGGCAAAAATGAAGACATTTTCAGATAAACAAAATAGAGAGCATGTGCCACAGCAGAAAAACAGTAAAGGAAATTCTACAGGGTGGTCTTCAGGCAGCAGGAAACAAGGAGACATACTGTAGCTTCTAGGGTAATCACCAAAATTAGTATAGAAATAATCCAAAAAAAGGCAGGAAAGGAGGAAGCAAGGAATTAAAAATAAGGAAGACAGAGAAAACAAATAATAAAATGGTTGACCCAAATTTAGCCAATACAACTATTGTATGTAAATGGTCTTAAAATCTCAAAGACAGAGATTGCTAGAGTAGATAAAAGGGCAAACTCCTACTATAGGCTGGCTACAGGAGACATGTAGGTTGAAAGTAAGTGGATAGAAAAAGATACAACATGCAAACAGGAAGAATGAGAAGGCTGGTATGGTTATTTTTAAATATCAGAAAAAATAGACTTTACGACTAAGAGTGTTATAAAGAGGGCCACTTCATAATGATGAACAATTCATCAGGGAGGTGTAGCAACTGTAAATGTGATTTTTGTAGTAATAGAGCTTCAAAATACATGAAGCAAAAACTGACAAAAATTAAAGGGGGAAACACAATTCCTCAATGTACTAGGATATTTTAATACTTCTGTCTAAGCAATTGATAGAATAACTAGACAAAATATCAGTAAAGACATAGAAGATCTGAACAACATAAACACCTTGATCTAATTGGCATTTATAGTACACTGAGCATCCAGCAACTGCAGAATATACATTGTTCTCAAGTGCATATAGTACATTTACCAGGATAGGTCATTCATTGGGCCATAAAACAAGTCTCAATACATTTAAAAGAACTGAAGTCATACAAAGTGTACTCTCTGAATATAACAGGATTAAATTAGAAATCAGTAACAGAGTAATTAGGAGAACCTCAAATATCTGGAAATAAGGTGACATACTTCTAAATAATTTGTGAATCAAAGACAAAAATCACAAGGAAAATTAGAAAATATTTTGACAATGAAAATACAACATCACAGTTTGCGGGATGCAGCTAAAGCAGTGTTAGAATGAAATGTGTAGCTTTAAATGCTAATATTAGAAAAGAAGTAAAAGACACGCTAGAAATAGTTTATAATCAAAAGATGGAAAAATCTCAGTCTTTAATATGAGAAATGGTCCTTACCCTATACCATGAAATTCTAAAGCACAGCCCTAGAGTCACATTTGGCTAATAGACATATGTTGGTTAGTCTACCCAGTGTTTGTTTTTTAAAAATTGAATGGTTTACCTATATGTACAGACTGGGGAGTTCATATAAAAATCTAGGTTTCTGGCTTTCATGAAAAATGGGACGATCCAGTCATACTGGGAGCTTTGCTACTTGGCAACAACTGGCTGGAGTAGAGAGGCAGCCACTCCCTTTAGACAGTCTACACTCTGTTTCCCACAGTCTTTAAGCCAGCTACTAACTATTCACCTTAGCTGCCCACCCCTGTAGTCACCTGAGTTTTCAACACCTGTTCTAAAAAAAAAAGAAAAGAAGTAAGCTCTAAAATCAATGACCTGAGGTTTTACCATACGAAACTAGAAAAAGAAGGGGAAGGTAAACCCAAAGTAAATAATAAAAATAAAAATAGAAATCAATGATATAGAAAACAGACAATTGAGAAGACTAACAAATATAAAACTGGCTTTTTGAAAAGATCAACAAAATTGACAAACTCCTAGCTACACTGATCAGGAAAAAGAGAACACAAATCATAACTACCAAGAATGAAAAGAGATTAACACCTCAGCATCTGTGAATAGTAAAAGGATAGTCTTTTGTTAGTGAACACAACCACATAAATGGAATAGCCACAGTTCTTAAAAACTACACCTTGTCAAAATTCACACAAGAAGAACCAATGAATAGCCGTATATAGATTAAAGAAGTTGGTTACCAAACATTTTCCTCAAAAGAAGAAAGAAAACTACAGACTAATAATCCTCATGAATGTAGATGCAAAAATAATTAACAAAATATAAGTAAATTGAATGCAACAGTATGTAAAAAGGCTGATAGACGAAGTGGAGTTTGTCTCAAGAATGCAAGGCTCGATTGAATTTCAAATGCTAATATTATTCACCATGTTAACAGAGTAAAGGAGAAAAAACTCTATGATGATTTCAATAGATTCAAGGAGAGTACTTGACAGACTTCAGCACTCATTTGTAATAAAAACTCTCAGCAAAGTAGGAATAGTAGAACATTTTTCAAACTGATAAAGAGTACCTATAAAATATGTATAGTGAGGATCATGATTAATAGTGAAAGACTAAACTGTTTACTCCAGAGATTGGGAACAAGGCAAGGATGCCCACTTTACCACTTGTATTCAGTATTGTACTGGTGGACCTAGCCATTGCAATAGGCAAGAAAAAGAAGTAAAAGACGTAAAGATTGGAAAGCACACAACTGGAAAATGAAATTTTAGAAAAATCAAACATTTATGGTAGGCCCAAAATCATAAGATACCTAGGAATAAGTTGAACAAAAGATGTCTAAGGCCTCTACGCTGAAAACTACAAATTTTGCTGAAAGAAATTAAAGAAGACAAATAAATGGAAAGATGTGCCACGTTCATGGATAAGAATACCCAATATTGTTAAAGTGACAGTTCTCCCCAAGTTGATCTATAAATTCAGTGCAATCCTAATCAAAATTCTAGTAGACTTTTTCTTCTTTAATGACAAGCTGATTCTAAAATTTAAAAGAAAATGCAAAGGACAGAGATTAACCAAAGCAGTTTTTTTTTTTTTAACATCTTTATTGGGGTATAATTGCTTTACAATGGTGTGTTAGTTTCTGCTTTATAACAGAGTGAATCAGTTATACATATACATATGTTCCCATATCTCTTCCCTCTTTGTCTCCCTCCCTCCCACCCTCCCTATCCCACCCCTCCAGGCAGCCACAAAGCACCGAGCCGGTATCCCTGTGCCATGCGGCTGCTTCCCACTGGCTATCTACCTTATGTTTGTTGGTATATATATGTCCATGTCTCTCTCTCGCCCTATCACAGCTCACCCTTCCCCCTCCCCATATCCTCAAGTCCGTTCTCCAGTAGGTCTGTGTCTTTATTCCTGTTTTACCC